AGACATTTTGAAATACATGCGGAGCGATAATAACTTTCTAAAATATAATATCAAAAAAAAAAAAAAAAATNAAAAAAAAAAAAAAAAAAAAAAAAAAAAAAAAAAAAAAATGAGGGAACTCGGATACATTTATCGAGAGCCACAACTAATGCATCAAAGAGCCGCAGGTTGGCCACCTCTGATATATTTCTTATTTAACACAAAGATAGGCTTGAAGCAATGTAGAACATAAACAAACTAGTTATGCATCGAAATCGTACATAAAACAAAAATATATCTCAGTTACAATAAACAAATAATAAATCTAAGTTAAGTAAAAGACGTAGACAAAGAAAAATTACATTTCAAAAAATTCAATAATAGATACAGTCTTTAATTAACTTCAATTAAGAAACTAACTTCAAGTGGCATAATTTAGCTCAACTTAAACACGCCATTTTACTTATAAACAATCAGCTGGAACTGATGTCGTAGGTCACCTGACTATTTTGAAGTGCAAGTGTCCAATAAAAAAATTCTTCAAATATTCTAACCAAAATAATCAATCTGTATAAATAATTATTTAAGTGCATAAATTGAATCCTTTTTTTATTTTGTCATTTAACAATATGAATTAATTAGTTTGAAAAGAAACTTCTAAATATATAATGCACATACAATTCCATACAATACGTGTATGAACATAGATATTACAATCAGGGTTGGGTTTTTGCAGTCAAAAACTGGTTTTTGACATGACAGTGGTAAAAACCGTGTTTTTACCGGTAGAAACTGTCAAAAACCTAGTGTTTTCTTAAATTTATGGCATATAGCGGACAATATATTATTTTCACGTAATTGCCTTTATAAATGAATGTCGTAAATGATTGCTATTGATTTTGCTACTATATATATGTATTCTTATAGAAGGATATACATTCATACAGTAATATTGTAATATACTTATTGAAAATAGTGATACTTACTTTTATCATTATAGCTTGATTTGCAAATGATTCAAAATTTTGCGCTTCTTAATTGTTAGAAATAAACAAACAAAAAAGCTTGGAACTATTAATAAATTCAAGAATTAAAAAGAAGAATTTAAAATTTGGCATTTCTTAAATATTAGAAATAAGCTAGAATAAACTTTCAAAACTTGTAGGTACTAACAAACTCTAAGTCAAGAATTACTGCTATTTTGTCAAGTTAAAAGTCAGTTGAAAAAGCATGTTAAGCAAAACTTAATTACAAACAAAATTACATGTTCATTAGTCGGGGTCACTGTGCCGAAGCATACGATAGCAAGTGACTAATTTTGCGCATTTTTCATTGCCCAGTCGATTTCTGAGTTTAGTATGGATGAGTCCAAAATTCGAGAAGATTTCTGTCAATGGAAGCCTGCCATTGAGGATAATGATAACGAAAGGTTATTGCAATGTTGCAAGGAAACTCTAAAAGGATTTCCCAGGTTTTTTCATGTCTCATTTCTGTGTAAAATATTGAAAACAAAAATGATAAGAAAAGTTTATTCTATTAGGCTTTCTTTTTATGTGTTTCTCAAAGCAAAGATTTTATGAATGAAAGTAATCAAACTTGACATTCTTCAGTAATGTAATATGTCAAACAAAGTGATGCTTGGAAATGTTGAAAATTTTGTTTAGTATCCTAATATTTTACTTCAAATAGTATGTTTTGATATAAACATGTTGGGAAAATGCAAGAATCTGTTCTTGAATATCTTTTAACAACTTTTTTTCTAGCTTTATTGCCCAAAAATTTATTAATTTTAAATTATAAGCAGTTGAATTCAAATAAAAATACAGTTTTACCAAAACTATGGGTTTTTGACAGAGGGGTTTTTGACATGACGGTAAAAACCATGGTAATAACCGGTAAAAACCGTCATGTGTCAAAAACTTCCCAACCCTGATTACAATTAATGTCATAAGACCGACAAATAAAATAGTTTTTCCCCCAAATTCTTAGAACAGAGTAAAAACGAAACAGGAAATTACTTTTTTTTTATCATTTCAAAAACATGGGTTAACATTAAATGAAATTGATTTGTAGATTTTAAATTTATAAAATTTATTTACCGTAATACGTGTTCATTTTATAATACAAATAGCAGTAATATTATAAATTATTATTACTAATACTTATTATTATAACTTCAATTAATTACTTACATCAATAAATTTTAAAATTCATCTCCGCCTTAGTTACTTACCTATTTTTATTAAAATAAATGTTTTCTTTACCAAAATGCTCCAGGACAGTGATAAAAATTTAATCCTTTTGGCGAAAGCGATATTTAACGAAAATGAAACCTTTAAATCATGTGCCAGTTTCGAGACTCCAGCGATAATAGTTTTCTTTTCCACATTCGACACTAATTCTAGAAAATTTCTAAGAGGCCACCTGCACAACATTAAGCCAATAAAACGATATTTAAAAGATTATTTATGAGTACTCAAATAGAAAATTATTAGGATTTATGTTTTCATCTTAAGTTTTTAATTCTTTCTTAGTGATTAAATTACGTTTTTAACTGGCAAAAAATATCGTTTGTATGAGATGAATATATCAAGATTTAACACAGATCACTTATCAAAAATTTGTTTATTTTTCCTTTCTTTCCTTTTTACGCTGATGATTCATCTTCAAAAAATATTATAATCAAACATTTCTAAAAAATAAGCTCTTATAGGATTAAGCCCTAGAACTAAAATACATTTTCGGAGATTACTTACTTCTGAATAGTTATATTTAATTCGTTATGCTACTTGATAAATGTCTCAACGTTCATCACCCCACAAATTTATCCACAATTAATATCGATTCCGTTTAGAAAGTATAGAGTCAAACAGGGGTATAATAAAATACTATCTCTTTGGAAAATCTTTCATTTAACTTACGTTTTGGAAGGTTTTACATGTTAAAACTATTGATACAACTTGAAAGTTCATGCTTTGAACCATTTTAAAAAATTTGTCATTTTTACCTATGCAATATTTGGATCGTCCAAAATGAGAAAAATAAGTTAATACCGTCTTTTATTTTTTATAATTACTCTGTAGGATTGCAATACTTATATTATAATGCCTTTTTAGTTATAGTGGCATTGGAAAAGGAAAAAAAAACTTCTAACTTTGTAAATTTTACTTGGGTTAAAAGAACCAACATTTTCTCCAAGTTTCAAGCATGATGGTGAGTATATATATATTTAGGAGGTTTGTAGAGCATAAGAGGAAATAAAGACAATAGTTTAATAAACAAACTTAACATTTAACACAAATAAGGAAATAAGTTTAACAACAATACCATTACCAGAGAGAGCTGCCTACACGCAGTGCTGGATCGAGTATGATTGTGAAAGTGAAATTGGATTGTTCTATGGAAAAGAGTTAGAGTTAATTATAAATTCGGGACTTTTCCCGTCTGAACTCGATGTCACCGTGGGTATCGGGGGTTTCCCTTCTGGCCTGGCAGGCGGGGCTGGCGCCTTCCAATGAGGAAGTAGATGATGAAATGATGACGGTGATGCAAAAAAAGATAATAGTACAGTACACTCTCGATTATCCGTGCGCGGATTATCCGGTTTGCGGATTATCCGTGCTCATTCCGGAGTCACACAAAAAATATAAAGAGAAACATTTTAAAGATTAAAAAAAATTGATTCATGAAGTTATAACACTACCAAATTTTTGGAAAGCAATATTCGTTATTGGATTTCAGTATATGGAACAAATCGTCTACGTTATCACAATCGTGGAGAAAGATGATACCGCTTGATGAACAATCCTCTTCAGATTTTCAAGAAAAATATGATAACAATATTCTCGAACAAGCAAAAGAAATCTAAGGTTTCGAAATTCTTTATGAAGAAAATTTAGAAGATTGGTTTCAAAGTGATGCATGTGAGCCTGGCTTTCAGTATTTGACTGATGAAGACATCGTTATGTTGTTAAATCAAATAGTGATGATAGTAACTGATGCCGACGATGTAGTAAATGAATGAAATACAATTTCTCATTCTGCTGCTCTGTGGAAACTTTATTAGATTATATGGAAGGAGTTGATTACGGTGACATTACTGCGCTTCGTAAAATATGTGTATCGATATATGGCGAAGACGCATTACATATTTTTTAATAAGGAAAATTCCTAGTTTGTTGTTATGCATGCAAATGTCAGTAATTTTTATATTTTTTGTACTGATATTGAATTTTTCTTTAATAAAAGGAGTTTTCGGATTATCCGTGTTTTTCGATGGTCCGTGCGACCTGTCCCGGTGATTAACCCGGATAATCGGGAGTGCACTGTATTTATTAAATAATAAATTTTTATATTATTAATATATTTGAGGATCATGCAAAAATGAACGAAACGCGATTTATGTAAAAGTAACAAAATTCAAACACATGTATTTATTAGCATAACTTTTTCAAAGCATTGATATGCTCTTAAATTATTAAAAATGAACACTTTATTTTATAATCACTTTCAAATTATTAAATTTCACTCTATTGTACAGGGTTTGTATGGTCTTTAGAAAATTTAAAAATGGCTGCTAATATTCTAATGTAGAAGTTACGATTTTTTTTTGTTGCTGTCTCTTTAAAATTAAAATTTAGGTATCGCCCATTATATGACGAGTCTAGTGGAGAATACAAAACTTACGGAATTACATTTTATTTTCTTAACAATAAAACGAACCTAGATTTTGTTATATTTAACCAATAAACGTGAAAATGTCTGTAAATATGAGTTATAATCCAGACGTTTTTACTCGGTTTACTTAGTTTACTGCTGCAATGTAACAATAAATAAAAATCTAGGTTCACAACATGTTGAATATAAGTTAAATAGACATATAGATAAAATAGGCCTGTTACAGCTGAAAGAAAAGCTCGTGAGATAATCACTAATAAATACTATTTATTTTTCAGATTAGTTTTATATATTTTTAAAATAGAATTAATTAACTAATAATAAAATAATAATTTAATACTCACCCGTTTTTTAATTTTGTCTTCTTGAAAATCTTAACTTGGAAATGAATACCAAGAAATGGCATAAGAATTCACTCAAAATTGCTTTTTATACTGAAAGATAAACTAGGCATCATATTTACGTTGTTGACTTGGAAGCAGGTGATCAAAAGCATATGGAATTAAGCCAACTGCCGAATAAATATATTAAGTTTAAAGGGAGATCCCCCTTTTTACTTTAAGATGAGGCGAGGAACACTTTAATTTGCAATTATTAACTTACTCTTTGACATTTTAGATTAAAAATGAAGTTAATGAAATTAATAGGTCAATATTGTGTAAGAAATGAAAATTTAAAAAATCAGCGTAATGATGAACGAATGTCTCTTAATAGCGGTTATTTTTATTTGAATTTCAATAATATTTAATCCCATCTAACTTGATGAAAATAATTATAGATCATCATTAAATGTTTCCTTAATTTATAAAATTTTTGTCGCTCTTCAGGTTTTTTTTAAACTTATTTAATCGTCTACGAAACCCATTTTAACGAATGCCCTGAAAAATATATCAGTGTATAATCGCGAACCCGTAAGATCAGTATTTTGGAATGATGACAGGGATGGACCCAGAAATTTTTCTTGGGACTCAGATTTCCCTTGGATGGGGCGTAAGGGAAATCTGAGTCTAAAATAAATTTTAAAATATGTTATTTCTTTTGTAAACTATTAAAAAAACTATTATTTATATATGTTATGAAAAGAATTTTTTTTTTTGGGGGGGGGGGTCATCCCCTTAAACGATTTTTTCAAAGTCTCATTTTTATGATCATTTACATTCTCGCTGCATTGAAAAATATTTTGAGGATAAACCTATTGAAATAAAAAAATTTTGTTTTTAATTTTCTCTTTATTTTATAAAAGAAGACCAGAAAAAAACATTTAGCCTTTCTTAAATTATCAGAACTTGGTTTTATTCGAACTTTTGAAAACAATTTACTGCAGCGACTGTTCTAATATAATACTATTCAAATAACTAATACTGCTCAAATATAATAAGTATGACCTATTCCTGTAGGTTATACTTATTATATTTGAACAGTATTTTAAGATTATAAAGCTATTAAATGAATAATCCCAAGAAACTGTGGCGGTAAGACATTGATTAAAAAAAACTGCTTTAAAAATATATATATTGGATATAAGAGTCGACTTATATCCATGGGTGCAAGTTGGAAAAAAGGCCAAGACTGAAAATTTTTTGACTGAAATACCTAACATACACAATACCCCCTCGACATAAGCAAACTATCTAAGAAAGCTTTACCATAATACATCAAGTTTAAATACTGTACAAAAAATATTTATTCATCTGTCTTTTGATAAAATAACAACAGGACATAAGAAAGTAGACCAATAACGTAGACCTAAAAAATATTTTTAAGGACAGAAAAGAGACAAAGAAAAAT